ACTTCTTAAAACTATTAAACTCTGGTCATCTTTTAGTGAAATAAAAAAATTGATTTTTTTTTTACATTATGTGAAATCATAACAGGTACATATAATCAACCCTTAAAAAGATTTTTCAATGGGATTTTTTAATATTTTGTTGGTGTTAAGTTCTAAATTTACAGAGTATAAAAACTAATAATTTATTGTAATAGTTTATTGTAAAAGACACTAATTTATTGTAATAATTTATTGTAAAAGACACTAATTATTTACGGCTGCATTGACTAAATCAGTTGAAATTTTAAATAAATACAAACTTGACACTTTAGTTACTGAGCAGTATATAAATATCTCATAAATATCTCATAATAAAATAACTTACTCGTTATAATATAATTCTAAAATTGTAAATTTAATTTTTATTTCAGAATGCGATGTACCATTGGGCTTGAGTAACAAGGCATTACCAGAATCTTCATATTCAGCTGGAAGTTTTTATAGTAAAGTTTATAATCCATCAAATGTTATTCCTGATGGTAATGGATGGCGTCCACTGAACAAAGGTGAACCAAGTTGGCTCCAGATTGATTTTGGAAAGGTCTTAAATTTTTTTTTTATATAATTTTTTTTTGTGTGTGATAAATTGCCTAAAGTAAAAAAAAAAAGCAGAGCATGTTATTACTGAAAACATTAAGTGGTACAGAGGCCATCATACTATTCTGCACTATTAGACTCTTCTTGAGGTTCATACACAAAAAAAAAAACATTTAAAATTTGTTTTGAAGGTTTTAACAGATTATATATGAAGAGCGTATTTTCAAAACGCAGTGTATCCATTTTTGTGGTATTGAGATACTTGACTTTTTTCGCCACACAATCATGTTTTGTATATTTAGAAAAATTATTGTTGCTTAATGTATATATATACATAAAGTATTTAAGATAATGTTAATAATTGAAATATTGGTAAATTAAAAATTATATATTTTGTCTATAAACTTGCATTTAATTGGATATACAATATTTTTTTCAAAATACTGTATATCCGATTACCGCTTATTAGCAAAATGCGATATATTCATTTTATAAAGATATTATAAAAAGCTTATAAACTTTAAAAGACCTAAATGACTTTTAATAATTAATTTTATTTAATATATTGTATAACTCGGTGTATTTAATGTTTGGTAATTATATTTTAATGATAGATAATATGAATATAAACAATATTCTGTAAAAGTAATGTAAACTATTATGATTCACAATTCACAATTTATGTGAATTCAAATTTATTTTGGAGAGTTAAATATGATGATGATGATGATGATGATGATGATGATGATGATGATGATGATGATGATGGTGATGATGATGATGATGATGATGATGATGATGATGATGATGATGATGATGATGATGATGGTGATGATGATGATGATGATGATGATGATGATGATGATGATGATGATGATGATGATGATGATGATGATGATGATGATGATGATGATGATGATGATGATGATGATGATGAATTCAAATTTATTTAGGAGAGTTAAATATGAGGCCATAATTTTTATTTTATACTTAATTTTAAAGTTTAAAAAATAGTGATACTGTAGTTGTAATAATGATGATCAGATTTTTAAAATATTGTTTTTTCAAGGAAAGAAGCATCAATACTATGCTTATTTCTTGCATTGTCCATAACACTTTACAAGGTTTGTGCTTGCGCAGAAGTTATATACATTTGCCACGGATTAGTCATAATTAATAACCAAACTTTGAAATAAATTAAAAACTCCATACCATGTTTTGAAAATAAATGTTTTTTTGAAGTAAAAAAATATAGGGTTATACTTCACTTAGCATATATTCAAACACAATGTCTGTTAGGTCTTTATAAACTAAAAATAAACCACACAGTTTAAACGTTTTTATTTAAATGGCACTTAGCGCATTTTGAAAATAAACTCTTCATATTTGGCTAAAAGGAAATTCAGTCCAATACTTTACTAAGCTTTGTTTATTATTTTATATTTACATTTGTATATTATATATTAATTATTATTTTAATTTACTTACACACAAAATCACACACTTATACATTACTTACAACAAATACAGTTTTTGTAATAAAGTAACACAAGATTTAAAACTTTAGGGATTACCTTAAAGTTTTAAATCTTGTGTTACTTTATTATTGTCTCCTAAATTTAGGATAATGACCATAGATACTGAAAAACATGATATGTAAATATACTTTCACATGCTGAATCATTTATATAACATAATTAAATCATTTATATATATATATATATATATATATACATATATATATATATATATATATATATATATATATATATATATATATATATATATATATATATATATATATATATATATGTATGTATATATATATATATATATATATATATATATATATATATATATATATATATATATATATATATATATATATATATATATGTATATATATATATATATATATATATATATATATATATATATGTATATATGTATATATATATATATATATATATATATACATATATATATATATGTGTATATATATATATATATATATATATATATATATATATATATATATATATATATATATATATATATATATATATATATATATATATGTATGTATAGGGTCGTCCCATGTAGGGGAGGGGCATCTGGCCCCCATATGAATTTTATTAGCCGGCAAATTGGATACCGGAGTTGTCAAAATTCAATCTAAAATCAGCAGTCAGAAAATGCCAGCCAACAATGACCTTTTTTTTTTTTAGGCTTTAGTTGGCAAAAAACAGATATGTCACCCCCTCCCCTTATTAAAATCTTTTTGGGACAACCATGTATATATATATATATATATATATATATATATATATATATATATATATATATATATATATATATTATTTGTTTAATTCTTTTTAATTATTTATTTTAATGTTATACTATAAACTTTTATATTTTTTTAGATTGTTCGTGTTGGAACAATTGAAATGATTAAAGTATCTTGGGTTAAAATGATTGATTATACCATAAAGTATTCTCAAAATAATATTGTTTGGTTGGATTACATGGAGACTGATCCAGCTATGAAAATGGTACACTGAAATTATGTGTTTTATTTAAATGTGTAAATGTATTGTTTTGACTATTTTGTAAAATGAATCACATAAATATTTCTCAAATTTTTCATATTTGAAAGAAACTTATTGTTTATAGTATACAGAATCTTTATGTTTTTCTGGAAACTGTGTTCCATCACTTATTAATCAATGTCGTAACTTATGGCAACCAGGTGAATATTATTCCTTTGCTGGTCCAACATAAAAAATATTTTAATAATTTTTTAAAAAGTAATTTTGATTTTAATTTTAATTTTTTTTTTTAATTTGAAAAAATGATTTCTTATATTATACTAAAAAGATGCTACAGTAGCTTCAGACAGCTGTTGGAATAACATGAATACAAACCTGGAAGGTTTCGGAACATGCTCACCTATTAGCAACACCTCATGCTCTCAAAGGTTTTGTTTTATTATTATTTATTTTTTTCAATTGTTTTTTCATTCATCTACTCTTTTTTTCATTTATTTTCATTCATTTCATTCTTTTTTTATTTTTTATTTAATTTTATTATTTTGTTATCTTTTTTTGTTAATTATTAATATGAACCATTTCAAATATTATTTGACACTTTCATTTTTCTATTATATATTAAACTGAAATTTTAATATTTGAAATGCACTCTTTTGTGTTTTTATATTTTATTATAGTCTTTGTTTAACTTATATTTTGTTCTTGGTTTTTTCATGTTTTTCTTTTAGTTTATAATAGTTAAATATTCAATATATATTTAAGATTATGACAAATATTTAATATGTTTGTAATAGTTAAATGCAAAATATAATATACATGCAAGTTATACTTATTATTATTATTATTAATTATTAATATTATATAACACTTTTTTATATTTTGGAAAATATATAAAGTCATCCTTTTCTCTCTCTCTCACTGTAGTAACATAAAATGTGGTCAACTTCAGTGCGACGCAAAGCATAATGTTCCTGTTCGTGTTCCTGATTATGGGAAAAGTTATCAGAAATTTGTGTATGATGAGCAACAATGCAGGTATTTTGTAATTTTTAGTGATGACTAAGCTAATACCTGAGTTGATCTTACACTTTAGAGTTTTTTAGTGGGGCCTCCATCACAGAAAGTGAACAGATTGGGCTAGGAATGGTTTCTGATGGTTCTATTTGTGCAGAAAACAAGGTATATTTTGTGCAGAAAACAAGTTTTTTACAGTAAAAGTTTTTTAGTTTAGTTTTTTAAGGCCTTAAAATTTTTTTGAATAAAGTTAAAAAGTTTAAATTAATTTTAAAAATGAAATGTTTAAAAAGTATACAAATTTATTTTTTTAGTTTTGCTATAAACAAGAATGCAAGTCATTAAACGAACTTGGCTTTAAAAGTTGTTCAGTTGTTGGAAGTAAAGAATGTTCAGATAATGGGGTAAAGTCAGAGTGGTTAAGTGTGATTTTTTTTTTATTTGTTGCATAACAATATGAATGTTGTATGTAGAAATATTAGTTTAAATATTTTGTAATATTTCTAAAAATTAAATCTTAGTTTTGCTCATCTGAAGGAAAATGTTTATGTAAAAGTGGATACAACCCTGACAACGGTTGTCAAACAAGTATGAAGCAATATTTTAAAGTTTTTTTTTTTGTACTAAATTTAAAAACTTATTTAAAAATTATTTTCTTTATGTTCATATTACTAATTGAAATTTAATTGTTATTACTAATTACTTGAGTGCTTAAAGTACTAAAACAGAGTTAATGATGCCGTCTTTCTGCAGAAAGACCAAATTTTTAGGGAGTCTATCAATCAGTTTTTAGCGGCAAAATGTTCTTTCTTATGCATCCAGTGGTTTCTGCTTTGCTATTGTCGGCTAATAATTTTTGAGGCAAAATATTTTGGAGGTCAACGCCAATAAGGAGGTGGAAGCTAGTGGTGGCTACATCCAGAAGAAATTTTGGAGGCGAAACTATTTGGAGGTTGCCTCCAATAGCTTCTGCCTCCCAGCTGGTTGTGGCCACCAAATTAGAGGCAGAAATATTTGCCTCCCATTGGCAGATGTTATGAAAAATAATTGCGTATTTGCCTTCAAGTTAACGAGCAGTTAAAATATTAACAATAACATATGTTAAATATTTGACATCAAAGTTTTGTTTTATATGAATTATTTAAATAATTTAAAAGCTATATAGTTAATTAAAAAAAAAAAATTATATTTAATTTATAATAAAGTTTGCAAATATACAAATAATACTTGCAGACATTTAATAGTCTCAAACGTACAACAAGAAACGTCGCTGAAGAATATAAAATATTTAATAAACTCTTTTTTAATATTTTTAAACCTTTTTATATTCAATTTTCAATTCCATCTTTTTAAACTTTTAAACTTTTACACCTTTTAAACTTTTAATTGCTTAAAACATTAAAACATGTAAAAGATAAGTCTATATTTTCAAATGTTTTAAAAGTATAGTCAATTAAAAATTTATAAATTTATAATTGACTCTATACAAAACTATAAACCTAATACAGAATGGTCGCAAATTTTTAATAAACATTAGCAAATATTTTTTTAATAACTGTTACAATATCCAATTATTAAAAATAAGTAATTAACGTTATGGCAATGATCAAATAAATAAAAGTTTTAGCATGTCAATTTGTTATAAAAAACTTTGATCAAAATCAGTCAATTTAATTACTTAATATAATTTTTTTTTTGTCAAAAAGATTTATTTGTCAATGACATACAATTATAATTACCGAATTTTAACTTTTGATTTGAATAATAAAACTAACTTACTCTACTTAATTTATAATTAAAAAAAAAAATTAGATTTTTTTAAATACTCAAAATTTTTTTTGCTGCTGAAAGACAGAAGCCAATGGAGGCAGAAGAAAGAACATTTTGCCGCTAAAAATTAATTGGGAGACAGCTGCTGTCTGCTGCAGATAAAAAGTGGAGGCGAAAAGATTTACGTTGTTTATTAACACTGTACTAAAATCACAAAAAATTAGTTGAGAGAAAATCTGTTTTGATCATTTAATTATTCAATATTTTAATTTTTCTATCTTTAATAATTTTATTATTTATTAATTAATTTGTGTTTTATTTATATTTTTATTTATTTATTTATGATGTAAGTAATTGTTTGGATAATTTAAATTATAAATAAACAAACAAAAAGGATTTTCTTTAAATTTTTTTTTAATTAAACTTAAAAAGTACTAGAATTTTTTTTTGCTTTCACAATGAAGGTTCAAAATTATTAAAATTTTGATTATATTGGTGGAAGTGTATTGATTCAATCTAAAAAATGTGTATATTTTGTGTTTTTCTGTTCATTGTTACATGTTTTAATGTGATTTGAGCCATTAATTGTCAGAAAGCTCACATTCATTTTCATTCAAAGAATTAAATTATCATTCCTAAATTTTTCAAAACAAAAAAAAGTTTTAGTTTTGTAAGAATTTCGATACTAACATAAAGAAATCTTTTTCAACATTTCAATATTTGTAATATGCTTATGAATATGGCTTTTCCAATATTCACTGCTCTTTTTTAGTTGTGAAGTTAGTTCGATTTCATTGTTTTTTTGTTCTACACTTTCTAGGAGGTTAACATGACAATGGAGGGGTTCTGGTTTTTACAATGAGGGGGTTCTAATTTTTATATGGCTGTATCTTTTCAGTGATAAAATTTGAAGTCTAAGTATTAGAAATATAATAGTTGCATTTCCCTCTTGATGAATATAAATTTGGGATGCAGAAAAATGTTTTGCTCCTACTGACACTAAATATGCATAAATCTCAAATAAAAAATTCAAACAAGGAAATAAAAAATTAAAACAATTTTTTTATTTGAGTGTTTTAAAAATTTGTTACAAGAAATATATTTTTCAATATAAATTGTTGAAATAAATAAATCTTTGGAAATCTTTCTGATGATCTAATTGGTCTGTATTCATCAACAATAGTATTTCTCACCATGATGGTCTTTTCAGTGTTGTGTTATTTTGCAGAAATTTTTTGAATGAAACGATGCATCAAGGTTTTTATGCATTGGTTTGATTTTTACCTTGATGTCACATTAAACAGTATCTTCTGCCTTTCAGAATGTAACCTGGTTATTTAAAACTTCCATCCAAATGAATCTTCTATCTAAATGAAATCTTATTTGCAAATACATCATAGGCAAATAATTTTTCATGAAGCATAAACTCCACCAACTTTTCTCTTTGAAGAATATATCAAGTTTTATTACAAAACAGCATTCAACAACCAAATAAAAAACTAAAGACTAACAAATATTAACTTGCTTAAAATAGTAGTACTAATGTATTGATGTCTCCTAACCTTATCTAGACTGTTACTCTTTTCAATTATCTTCTACCTGATTAAATTGAAAACATTTTGAAAAGTGTTAAAAGCAATTTTAAAACAATATATTTCTTCTAGGTTTTAATAAATTTCAGGTATTCAATTCGATAATAAAGATTCATTTTGCCTATAGATCTTAAATCAAATCCACCACAATTATAAAAATCCACCTTAAAGTATCCATGCCTGATAACAGTTTTTTCAAGAAAATTCGCAAAGTTTTAAAAAAGAGAAGACCCACTATTTTACTTATATATTGTTCATTAATATGACATTAAGGTCAGGGAATTATGTTTATTGTTTTCTTACTTTATTTCCTATCTATTAGGAATGGAGTTTTAATATTTTTTTAATTTTGCACCTGTATATATGGTTTTAATTTTGCACCTGTATATATTTTTTACTGTGACGCTATATTACAGAAAAAACTTTTAAAAAAGTTTCTTTCTAATTTTATATTTAGATTACATTTTATCACAAGATAATATAATAAAGTACTTACAGAAAATCTAAGGATGCTTTTGACCAGTACATTTTAGTGCAATATTTTATTTAAAAAAAAGCTTTAAAAAAACTCCTAATTCCTGATTCCTAATTCTTGATTCCTGTGGTGCTTGTTGTATTCTTATGATTCCATCAAGATTCTCTCCACCTATCTCTTATTTTTATATATATCTTATATATATATATCTCTTATTTGTCATAGAATGGAATACAATTGTCATATTTGGGCTGGTCTTTCTAATGAGAGTCTCTTTCTTTTGGAAAGATCCAAAAATACATGATAAATATTGTTGAACCAGCTCTAGATGCTAAGCATGAGTCTCTTTTTCATTATCATATGGTTGAAATTCTTTATCATAAGGTTGCATCTCTTTATCATAAGGTTGCATCTCTTTCTTTTTTTTTATAAATACTGCCATGATTGCTACTTAGGCATTATTTAATTATTAATTGTTTCATCAACCAAAACTCAATCTTGCATGATTTAACTATATCACATCATTTATTTGTGTCCATATGGTGGTTTTTGAAGAAACATATAGAGCAATATGGAAAAATCTCATTGATTCACATATTTATTTGTGTCCATATACTGGTTTTTGAAGAAACATATAGAGCAATATGGAAAAATCTCATTGATTCAATTGACTCATTGACCCAATCATATTATTTAGTTACTCCATCTCCACTAAAAATGGCTTAAGGTTATGCTTTCCAAAGGATAATCCTACACAGTCCATAGTACTTCCAGCGCTTCTGAACTGGAGGAGATGCAGCGTCATGATATCTTTGTCTTACCATTTTTATAATATCATTTTTGAGAAAAGATCCAATGGAACTCTTCACTCCAAAAGATCCAATGGAACAAGCTCTTTTGAGAAAAGATCCAATGGAACAAGCTCTTTTGAGAAAAGATCCAATGGAACTCTTCACTCCAAAAGATCCAATGGAACTCTTCACTCAGATTCAGATTTTTTTTAAAATCATGGAATACAAACTGTTTCAGTTTTTTAATTTATTGATTGGGGCATTGCTTGTAACCAGGCAGATAATCCATAATTGCACATAATTTATATTAAACACATAATTGACAGTTATGTGTTTAATATAAATTATGTTTACACATTAAACACACAGAAACATGCATTTTTCTTAAATTGATCTTCGGTTACAACTTCTGACTTAGGAAACTATTTAATTTTCTTTCTAGACAATCGGACTATTTTTATAATGTGAAGCAATTGCAAAGCTTTGTTTCTATTCAATAAGTTTTTTGGTAATCCCCTTGAGTACAAGGAATTCACAGGAACAATTTGTTAAGCTTTCTTGTTATATACATTCATGGCCGAAAAAGTAGAGACGCTCAAAGAATTTTTTTATTAAAAATAGACATGCAGCACTTATAAAAATGTTGATGGGCAAAAAACAAACAATTTAATACATTGTGGCAGCACCCTTAAGTTTAAGCACAAGTTTTAATCTCTTTGGCATGGAGTCTACTAGTTTTTTACACAATTCAACAGTTATTTCAGTGCACCAAACTCAACCAATACATGAGATCCTGTATAATCAATTGGGCATGAATTGGTACTTTTTTCTTCACCAAAGATTCTCAATTGGATTTAAGTCAGCAGAGTTTCCAGACCAGTCTAGAAGCTTTATTTTGTTTTGTTTTTATCCAGGGGGTTATGACTTTAGCGGTATGACACGCAACCAAGTCCTGCTGGAACAGATTTCATTTCTGTATGGTCATGATGTTACAGCTTGTTTTCCAAGATTGTCTTGTACTTGGCTGCATTCACAGTTTTCCCTTTTGGAATGAAATGTATGCTACCACAGCCAGTAGATGATATACATCCCCAAACCATGATTTTTGGTGGATGTTTCATGGTTGGCACAGTGTAATATGGTTCGTACTTTGTACAGGATGAACGGCTAACTCCAGTAACTTGAAAACCAAACTGGCAAAATGCTGTTTCATCATTGAAGAGTACTTTTGCCCACTGTGCATGCATCCAATGTAAGTGCTTCTTGCAAAGTAGCACTCGTATCTTCCTCTGGACATCATTCAGTAATGATTTCTTGGCGGGTATTTTTTGACATAGCTGGAAGTCATCCACAAGTTGCCAGCAAATGGTACGAGCACTAACCGCTACAGGCATGGATGCAATTTCGGATTACACAGCAAATGCATTGGTAACTATTGTACATTTAATGCCATTGTCATTGTTTCGGCTTCAGCCATTTTCTTCCTGTGGTTTCCTCCTTACAATACGATCCACTGTAGATTTGTGAACATCCATTTTCTCAGCAATACTATGATATATACACACACATATATATATATATATATATATATATATATATATATATATATATATATATATATATATATATATATATATATATATATATATATATATATATATATATATATATATATATATATATATATATATATATATATATATATAACAAATATAAATATTTATTTTATTCTTGCTGAAGTTGATAACTCGCAGTTTGAAAAAACTCTTTTAAAAAAGATTTTATGCATCTAGAAAATTTCTTAATTTTTATTTTTGCAAGAGCCATAATTTGCTCATGTAGACTGGTGTAGCACCTAAACTGACAAGCCTGGGCTGTGTATTTATTCATTTTCATTTTTTGAAAATCGTTTATGTTTATGTTTTCTTCATTTAATTGTACTTATTTTTGGTTTTTAAAAAAAACAAGACATTAAGTGTTAATCATTAGATAAAAATACATTACTGTTTGTAGAGCTAAATCCTATTGATGGTGCTTGGAGCAGTTGGTCAGAGTACACAAAATGTTCAAAAGGCTGTGGTGGAGGTGTAAAACAAAGGTATCGTTTCTGTAATAATCCAATTGCTAAGTATGGTGGCAAGGATTGTGTTGGTATAGTGAAAGAAGACTTAGTATGCAATTTGAAACCTTGTCCAGGTATAAGTATATTTTTATATATACATATTGGTTAAACTGGTTCTTATAAAGTAAATTGTTTTATAAATTCACTATAAAGTATGCAATTTAACATTGGTTAAAATGCCATATTCACTTGTTTGATTAAAAAGACAGTGTTTTATTAAAAAAACTATTTTTATTAAAAGTTTTATTTGAAAATAAATGACATAACAGTAACAGATTTATAGCTGTATAAATTTAATACTATTAATATTTATTAAATAATTATTATTGCTTGTGAAACTTTTAACACAAAAAATTTTTATTATAAATTTAAAACTTATTTTGAAAAACCATGATAGCACAATTTATGGATTAGTTGCACATTTTATAGATAATATGTGCAACTGTAAAATATCCCTTTACCACTTCAATTATCGCCTCAATATAAATACTTATCTTGGGAAGATGTTAACTCCATCCACTTTGTGTAGAAGGCTTATTAGCCAAAGACTTTAGGAGTAAGTAGATAGTCTATGTTAATGAGCCTTGCAACTCTACTTTATTTTTTTTAATTTTTTTTTTAAACATCTTCACTTCCAACAAGGCTGCAAGCAACCACTAATTAGTGTTGGAAGTTACAGGAAGAGGAAAGATGAAGATTGTAGAGCAAGATAACAATTGTCAGACAACTTAAAATATTGCAAATTATATAAATCAGGAAAGCAAGATGAAGGAAGCGAATTCCATAGAACTGATGTTTGAGAAAAAAAACTAGACGAATAGGAGTTTTTGGCACACTTAGGAACAGTAACAGAAAAAGGATGAGACTTAATTGAATGACGAGTAACATGGGAATGAATTTTAGTAGATGGCACAAGAGACACTAGCTCTTTAGAGCAGTGCCCATTATAGTATTTGTAGAAAAGAGAAAGAGAGGCAACATTATGACGATGTGACAAAGGTTGAAGGTTAGCTACAAGAACAGATCCAACTATGTTTACAATGCGTTTTTGCATCTTGTCTAAAAGAGAAAGGGCATCATTAGAAGATCAGCCCCAGATATGGCAACAATATTTCATACAAGGCCGGATTTGAGATTTATATAGATAGAGAATAGAATGCAGAGTAAGGAAGTGTCGAGTTCAATAAAGAGAAGCAACTTCAGCAGATGCTAATTTTGCAATGGATTTGATATATGGTTTCCAAGAAAGATCAGAAGTAAGAGTTAATCCTAGAAGATGAAGGGTAGATGACTCATCGAGTACATTACTGTTCATAAATATAGGAAGGTCTAAATTATTCCTATAACAATTGAGTTTTATCTGAATTAAAGTTCACCAGCCACTGCGAGCCCCATGCTGTAGCAGAAGTGAGATCCTTTTTAAGCTCAAATGCCCTCTACAAGCAATCAGAGGGAGTTGGCTTCTTATCGTGACAAGAATAAATGGTAGTATCATCAGCGAACAATGCCATCTAGATGTGAGAATATCTGGAAGATCGTAATAGTAAATTAAAAAGAGTATAGGGCCAAGGATTGAACCTTGAGGAACCCCTGAGATTACAGAATAAGAAAAAGAGTGCTGTCCATCAAGGACAACTTTTATACTACGATTGGAAAGGAAGGATTCAATAATCTTAAAGATGTTTCCACATTAACCGTTAAAAGAAAGCTTATGGAGAAGACCAGCATGCCTAACTTTATTAAACGCTTTAGAAATGTCAAGAGCAATGGCCTTAACCTCTCCACCTTTATCTAATGCAAAATAAAACCTATAGGTTGTTACTGTTAGCAAATCAGCCATAGAACGAGAAGATCGAAATCCATATTGATGATCAGAAAGTAAGTTATTAGATTTAAGATGAAAGATTAAGTGTTTATTAATTAAAGATTCAAAAACCTTGCTTATGATAGGAAGAAGACTAATGGGACGGTAGTTAGACGAATCAGATCGCTTTCCAGAATTTTTGAAATAAGAGTGATAACAGATACCACTATCAAGCATGCTGGAAAACAAGACTCTGATAAGAACTTGTTGAATAGTTTTGAAAGGATAGACAACAGCTCCAGAGAACACTTCTGCAAGACTATAACAGGTATGTTGTCCGGGTCACAAGCTGTAGAAGAGTCTAAGCAGGAAATCACTTTAGATACAGAAGCTGGAGTGATAAGAATGTCGGGCAATGGATCAACCTGTTTGACGGCTAAATCTTGTAGAACACAACTATTGAAATCAAGAGATGATATTGATGAAAAGTTCTTAGCAAACAGTTCAGCTTTGTCTTTAGGTGAGATGAAAAAGTCTGAACCATACAAAAGAGGTGGAATCACAAACTTGCCCATATTATTAATACTATTAAAGATTCTCCAGAAGTCACGAGAGCCTAATTTTTGTGATGAAATACAAGATTTCATGATCTGAGAATAGCAGGCTTTGGCGTTAAACAAAACTTTTTTACAATGGTTCCTAGCAGTAATAAACAGACATCTTTTTTCTGGAGAGTTATTTTGCTGATAGATATGGAAGTAATGGCTTCGATTGGCAATTGCAGCAGCACAATGTGAGGAAAACCATGGAGAAGAGTGAGGCTTGACCTGGAATCATCAAGAGGGAATAAAGGATTCAATGCCAGCCTGAGTCCACGAAATTATGTAAGAAGCACATTTGTTAACAGGAAGATGAAAGATTTCTACCCAAAGGTCATCACGAAGAAAATCACCGAAAGAGTCCTAGTCAGCTTTAAGGTAGTTGTAAGATGTACATTGATAAGGTGATTCTGATAATAAAGAAGAATGAGATAATAGTTTTAGAGAGACCAAACCATGATCAGAAGCACCTAGGGTGAATGTGGAGAAACTGAGCACTGACTAGGATCAAAAACAAGACATAAGTTGATTAGAGAAGGTAAATGATTCGGGTTGTCTGGAAAGCGAGTTGAAAAGTTGACTATTTGAGTTAGGGATTGAGAAAGGCAAAAGTTGTGGGCCTTAATGGCTGCAGAGTCACTGACACTAGAGCCAATCCATTCAGTGTGATGAACATTAAAGTCAACGACAACAATAATATTGGCTGATGGATAAAGAGAGAAGGCTTGGTCAATATGATAAGAAACAACATCAAGAAGAGTGCATTCTTGAGATGAAGGAGAGAAATATAGAACAAAGAGAAAGGTGATAGAGTGAAGTGGTGCTAAATGAAAGCACATAAAAGAGTAGTATGTGGATTCAAACCTAGTTTCCTGACAAATAAGTGAATTCTTACGAATGTAAATGCCCAGCCCAAGCATATGACTATTAGAGTCTATGAATTAAAGGAAGATAGCTATCAACACTAAAATCACAAGATGAAACAGCTGAACTCAAATTAGACTCACAAAGAGCAAGTAGGTCTGGTGAACTTTGTAAGAGATAAGACTCAACAGAAGAAAAGTTACTTTAAAGACCACAAATATTAGTGAATGATAGATTTAGCAAACTTGGTGATGTCTGTGGATTTTTGTGTTTTATAGTTTTTGTTACTTTATTCATTTTTAAATTTGTTAAAGAACTTGACTCGAAACATAGATAGTACTCAGTACACTGTTTAATAGCCCAAGCAATTGCCTCATTATTATTAATAAACCCTAAGCCCAAGTAATTGCCTCATTACTATTAATAAATTCCATCAACAGCTTAAAAATATCAGAGTACCATGCCATGTTTTACATGGATGGTGTCTCTTTGTGCTTTTGGTATGGATTGCCAAGGCCACATTGGAGACCACAACATAGCATAGTACTTTGATATTTTTCAGCTGTTGATGGAATCAGCCTCTCTGAGAGCTACTACAGAGTTCGGGAAACCTGATTACCAGCTGTCCTCAGAACCATAAAACTGAGTTTTAGAGCTGACCCTCATTAGGAGATAATAGAATGAGTTGCCTAGTCATAGGGCTCCAATGTGGCCTTGGCAATGCACACCAAAAGTACAAACAGGGACACCATCCATGCGCAACATGGTACTGTTAGTACTCTGATATTTTTCAGCTGTTGATGGAATCAGCCTCTCTGAGAGCTATCACAGAGTTCGGGAAACCTGATTACCAGCTGGCCTCAGAACCATAAAACTGAGTTTTAGAGCTGACCCTCATTAGGAGATAATAGAATGAGTTGCCTAGTCATAAAAACAGAGACACAAAAAAAATACATCTGTGCCAGTCTAATAGATGAAGAAGGGGTGCGAGGCTGGTCAACAGATAGAATCTGTTTACCCCTTAAGTCTTTGCCTCAGAAGCTTTCTACAAGACAACAGCCGGATGCATTTAACATCTGCCCAAGATGAGTATTTTTATTGAGACACCATCTCTAGCCTTTACTAAACCAAGAACCCCAAGGCAGGGGGTGTTTTATGTCAGAATTGGCATCTCCTAGCCTTTGCCTAAAAATGCGTATCCTACAATGCAGCAGGAGGCATCTGAGAGGTAAATCTGTGTTATATTGCTTCCTGCCTAGGATAATAAACACTGGGTTTACTTGATTTATCTCATAGGTTTTTATTTTTTATATTTGTGGTGGCAATGTAGTTCTTTCTGTCATCTTTTAACAAGTGTATAGTTTTTAAACTCTGTTTAATGGTTACGCAGCAAACTGGTAATAAGGTTTCCTAAGCTCTGTGAAGCTTTGAGAGCTATCAGAGGTTGATTGATATATAACAGTTGTTGATTTCATTAACAGCTGTTATACATTAGAATATTGACAATGCCATATTGCACATGGAAGGCATCTCTGTTAGTTCTTTAAGTGTTCATTTATATGTTCTCCAATAAAACGTGATTAAAATAGTTTCTATTTTTAAACAAACAAAAAAAACAAAAACATAAAACAATTAAGTTGTTCAACTTAATTGTTATCCTTTACAAATATTGGTAATCATTTACAAGATCTATTTGTTCTTTTTAAGACTAATTTTGCTATTTCATCTTTTGTTGATGCCTATCATTCTATTATTTGCAATTACTTTAATAATTAGGTGTTATTAAAGTAATTGCAAATCATATATACTTACAAATTTATTCACATAGTTATTGTGAAATCAAGTTGAAATCTCAGTATTTTTTCATGTGCATTTTACTAAGCTTTGACCACACTAAAATTTTTATCTTGTACTTCTTATGCATCACATTCCCCCTATAATTGCACTTCTTACTGAAATGTTAAAGTTGGAGTTTACTTAATCATTTTTCTAATCTCTGAATCCACTCTATACGTTAATTACTAAACCTTAATCTATGGAGTACTATGATTTCCAAATTAGGGGGCTTTAATTGATGAGCAACATTTTTTAAATGAGTAATATAATTTGATGATTAGTAGTATTAATTATTTAGTAATACTGTCTAAATGCTATAAAATATTGAAATATTTTGTAATTTTTTCATTTTGTAATACATTATTATAAATGTTAAAAACCAAGATGGTACAATCTGCTAAAACATTGTCATGTAAAACTGTCTAATACACATTGAAGCTATATTTTTTTAACTTTAACTAGTAGTTTTTAACTTTACTAGTGAATAAAAGGTTCATCCTCAATTCTTGATTCAACTTTTTTTTTTTTCTTAGATGTTTTACCACATAGGTGGCAAAAAAATTTTTGTGCCTAATAGCCTTACTATTAATGAACGTTTCAGTTGAAATTACATTTTTAGTATTTAGATCTTCACATGCCACTTTTTTCATTAGATTTTCCTAATTTTCCTGATTTATGAAACAATGTTTCAAATTATTGTATCAAAGATGATGTATCAAAAGAAAGGAAGTGCTTTTTTTTAAATCCCTCATGAAAAAAAAAAACAATAGTCAACATTCTTTCAAAATCATGATAATGTTAATTTCATGTTTTCTTAGTTTAGTGAGTATTTATATGAAATGATTAAAAGGTGTTAACCTCTGCAGTCCGTTAAAAAAAGAAGCAACAGTTCTTCTTGGAAAAATTCCTCAAATCAAAATTCCAATGAGTGGCAAAGATAGTGTTTACCACAAAAAGTATTAATACAAATACATTGCTCTGAGAGATTAACTAGCTCTAGCAATAGCGAGATCAAAAGCACATTTTATGTGTCTAATGAGCATTATGTCTGCCTAGCATTAAAAAAAACTAAACCATTAGCTAGTGGACTAGATGGTATCCCAGGAACAATCCTTAGAGATTATGCCACAATTTTTACAATCTACAATCAAAGCTTTGCTCAAGTAGTTTTTAAAGTCAAGTATTAGTATTGACTTTAAAAAAGCATTTGATAAAATCTTTCATCTAGTTGTTCTCCTTGCAACTAAAAATGAATTTAAATTACAGAACACTATTTTAGTGTGCATACTATTCATTTCACTGTTTTCAAAATGTTGCTGTTTTCAGTGATACCTCAAGTGAAATTTCATAAGGATATGTGCTAAGACCATTTCTCTTTGCCATGTTATTCAACAGTATGTCCACTATGATGGTCCTTGACCAATACAGAAATCAATTAAACTTTAGAGATAAGTTAAAATAGTGAAGTGTCATTGGTGTACCAATGACACTTCACTATTAAATCATGTCAGACAGCCCCAGTAATTTGCAGAAAGAACTGAATAATTTGCTAAGTTAATTGTTAGGTACTAAAATGCATGTCAATGACACAAAAAAACAATTCATGTGGTATCCCTCATAATTTAGTATGGAAAACTTGACTCGCTTTAGTCTTTTTGCATATGGCTTATGTTAGGTCTGTGTTTTATGATATTTCTAGCTCTCAGTTCATGAAACTTTTGACCATAGAGAAATGTGCAGCAGTCATGTAGCAAGCACCCATGTTCAAATCATTCCTCAAAGCGTTACTTTGCTTTAGACTAATTTAAAAAGTTGCCAAATCCAATGATCACTCTCTTCAAGCATTGTTTTTAGTTAGACCTATAGTGCAAAATCTCTGAAATTTGCAAAAGCTTGACTCAATTAATAAAATCCTTTGCAGGTTTTTGTAAATACTCATAAATACCTAATGAAATCTGTTTTAGTAACAAATTCAAGCAGAATATATAAAATTATGAGTGTTTTTTGTGTGTAGTTTGTATCTTATTATTATTATTTTTTTTTTTTTTGATTTTAAAACAATTATTCATAGAATTGTAAATTCTATAATTTATAATTTTTTTTAATTTATAGTTGCTGAGTCGTGCAAAGTAATAAAATCAATTCTAGAAAAGAATGACCAACCATTATATGATGGTGTCTATACTATTACACCTTCAGAAAATTTTACTTTAAATGTATATTGTGACATGACAAGAGATGGAGGAGGCTGGACTCTAATTGTTTCTTCTCATTCTAATACATGGAACACTACTAATGTTTGGCTGAGAAATATTATTCAACCTGGTTTGTATAATGACTATTCCATACTAAAATATGCAAACAAACTTAAATCAAGTTATAAAATTATAGACTCTGTTTTTAATTACAGATTGGAGGCCAACGAAAGAGGTATTTTTTACTTAATAAATTGTAATTTTGAAAGTTAATTAACAAATATACGCTTTATTAATGTAAGGACAATTGTATTGTAAACATATTTTTCTTTCTTATTAGGTCGGTGGGGTGGTATTTTTTCAGCACCATCAAGGTATAACATATCATCAACAAATTTTGCACAGATCAGTGTGTCACTTGTACAAAGATTTGATGATTGGAACTTTTCTTCACATAGCATCCAGCAGAGACTTCCATATGTCTCTGGACACAAGTTAACAACATCTGATAATTCATTAACTGATCAAAAAGATTCATGGGGTTCTATAACAGGTTAGCTCATTTTTATACAATATAGATGCATACATATTTTATTTATACTTTTTAGTTGAGTGTTACCTTATTTGTACAATACTAACAATGAATGACCTATTAATATGGTCAATGTGAATAATAAATTATAATAAAAATTGCACAAAAATTAGTTTTAAAAGTTATAAACAATTGTTTATAACTTTTAAAAAATTTAGAAACGAAATTGAAAAAAATTTTAATTTTTAAAACAAAACTTTTAAAACATTCAAAAAAAGATATCAAATGAGGGTAAGGTTTGTGCTTTCAGTGTCTACATATGAAGATCTATCACAGCAAAAAAAGAATAAGCAGTAATACACACTGATACGCATACACATTTACATTTATTTATTTGTGTTACTAGATAACCAGTCCAGTATTCATACATCCAAATGGATTCAAGGTTCTATGAAGATGAGTTTTCCAGAACATATTTGGTTGGTTTAGCTTATCAGACAGACTTATATTTATAATTTGTTATCAATTTAGTTTTAAATTTGTTTTAATGTAGGTATTTTTTATTTTAGGTATTGGGTTAGGGAGGGGGACTACAGTCACCCTTCATCTTGTCTTGAATTATTTTTTCGTAGTTTAGCTGGCTTGATGAAATATTCAAGTGGTGTTTATGAAATCGAAATAGCACCAGGCTACATTGTGAAGACATACTGCGATCTAAATCGACATGGTGGAGGGTGGTCTTTATTAGCAAATGTTGTTTCAAAAAATTGGACTTTAGAAAAATCGAAGTTTTATTCATCTGAAAATTTGTTAGATGAAGACTTTTCAATTATTAAATACTTAGAAAAAATTAAGATTAAAGACAACGGCGAGGTGAGTCAGAACTTAAGAGTTTTAACTTTTGGTTTATTTTTGATCTTAAAAATTTCTTTTTTCGCTAGAATTCCTACCAAATTATGTTAGAAGCTAACAGTTCTAATGACAATGGAGGAATTTTTGCATTACCCGTTAAATATAATAGTACTTTGTGTTCCACTCATTTCAAACCAACAATTTTAAAAAAATTTGGCAAATGGAATGTTGATGTTGAAAATATTTCCAAATATCCGATTTGTACGAGTGATCACAATGGGATATTTTTATCTGCCAATTCTATGGTATGTAAATTCTCATGTATTTCTTAGGTTTCAATTTGATTTTATATGCTGCATTTTCAAAATCTTTTTTTTATGTTTAAAAGATGGATATAAAATGCTTTAGGTGATATGTGTGTGCATAGATAAATGTTTTTTAAATAATATAAAATACAAATTTTTTTGAAATAATTAATTTTCCATGGGTTTCCCATGGAAAAAACTACTATCCAATGAATTTCCTTGGTAGTCATATATCTTATGGGAGCATGGTAGTCATATAGAAATGCGATGTGTTACTTTTAAAGTTTCCTTTTAGAATCCTTTGAAATTCCATGGTATTTTTTAGCATTAACACTATGCAAACACATAATGCATAAGTTTTATTGTGTATTATACATATGTTTTGTTATATTTTAAAGACTTGTTTTGTTGTATTATATGCATTACATAATATGCTGAAGTGAAACTGTAGTATTTTAGGAGCATTATAGATATTGATTTTTAAAAGTTACACGGTATTTTAATTTTTTGTTTATTATTATTCCACGATAGATCAAGAAAACTTAATGATGTTAGTATATGTTAATACAATAATATGTTAATACAATTAAGAACAAACGAAAACTTTTGACTTCACATATTTTTTAAGGTATATATTTCAAATTTGTGAGTAAATAAAAAATAACTGCATCAAATGCAAGCAGAGCTGTAGCTAGACTTACTCATACCCCCAAATTGGTGGGGGGGGGGGCAGCAAATTTAGGGAGTCTATTTGCAAATGTAGGAAGCTTTTTTTTTTTTTTATCTTCTTACCTAATGGAAAATTTTTGGAAGATTTTATGGCCCTTATGAATTGGGTTTTTTTTGGGGGAGGGTCTGGTTTCCATCTAAGATATTAATGTCATTCAGTCGTTGGTTTTTCTTTACTACTTCTTGAGGTTTTCGACCCATTGATTGTTTATTTAATCTATTTCCAGATCCTGGAAATCGTTTCTCAACATGTATGATACATAACCGAACAGGATAAGTACTGATAATACATGAACAAGTATTGCTTGATGATATAACAACTTTATGCCATTTTAAAACAATGATGTACAATAAACTTCTACATATGAGCTAGATGAGTTAATCTTGCTGACTTATTTATTTATTATTTGAAACTTTCGCGCAAAACCCCTGATAAACCTTTAAAGTTATAGTAAGAAAATGTATCGCTTTTGCAACTGTCAATAGTTCATAATAAACTTGTTTTGGTTGCTAAAAATACAATACAACTTTTGTACAATAGGTAACTAGACAATTTTATTAAAGCTGTCACATTATATTCTGACACGAGTTTATAAACATAATGTTCAATTTATTAAAAGATTAAGCTACATTGATAGTATTATCATCATCAAATTCTTAATTGTTTTTAACCAATGGAGATATGTTTTTAATTCATCTGGCAAGTTCGCATCAATACCAAGTTTACCAGGTTTCACAAACCAATCCATTTTTTTTTTCCTTCTTTTAATAATAATATTAATCATAGATCTTTTAATAATAGAAAATAACCAAATGAAGAAGCTAATACTATACTTGTCTATATAAGAAGAAAATAAACAATATATAAAAATAATACAGAATGTATATATAATAAAACAGAATATATATATATATATATATATATATATATATATATATATATATATATATATATATATATATATATATATATATATATATAATTGTAAATAAATTTGTGAGGTATAATGTCTTAAAGTCTATTGTTTTTTAAATTCAGTAAAGTAATTTAAATAAAACTTAAAGTTTAAAATATCTAATATCTATTTTTTTTAGTTACTTGTAACTCTTGGAGCTTTTTAAAGTTTAACTTGCAAATAAAGATTCTTATTTCTAAAATGATTCCTAAGCACAAATTTAAATTTAATCACTAAAAGATCATTTTAAGATCACATTTAAACATTAACCTGATTTTTAAATAACATTACTGGTGCAACATTTAAAATCTTTCTAATGATAGCATGAAAAAAGCACTGCTCACCTTTTATAAGTAGCAAAATAAAAATGAAAAAAACAACAACAATGGAACTTGAGGTTTCATGTCTTATAGACAATCATTAGCCGTAAAATACAAACTTAAAAATTGAAAAAAAAAACATTTCAAAAAATTACAAATACAATGGAACAAGTTCTGACATCTTTATAGCTAACATTATCTCTATAGTGATATTGATCATAAAAATAAGATATATTAATGGTTATATAATGACTAAACTAATTTGTTTAATTATTGTATTTTAAAAAATAATAGCAATTATATAACTAAAATAAGTAAATAAAATTAACTAAAATTTGAAATTGTTACAGGAATGGCTCCCTATTTTTATAAAACAAAATATTTGCTAAGCGCAGTCTTCAAGGTGTATAATATGATAATATATGCATGGTATGCAGAATATGATAATATATTTTATTCATATTATTAAATGCTATAAAAGAATCATTAAGATCTGTGGAAAATTTATTGGAACCTATGAACTAAGAGTTGAGACTCATGAGGTTACCATAAAGACCCATGAGGTAACTATAAAACATGGGTGGTACATCATAACCCATGAATTAAAAGCCATAGTTTA